GCCACTGAGGGCAGCCGACGTCCTCTGGGCCTGGTCTCAGAGCAGAGCACACCCTTCAGACCAGGTCCCTGTAGTCAAGACTATGCTCTCCTTCCGTAAAGGACCAAGCCTGGCTAACAGTGTCCCCCTGCTTGTCCCCCATGAGCCACTGGTCCCTGGAGGACCCTGCTTGTCCACCCCTCCCTTCTGCTCCATTGGGCTCCCAAATATAGCGGCCATGGCCACAGCCGGCCAGGACACCACAGCCCCAAGCGTCAGTCCTGGGCTGGGATCAGAGGGGCAGGAGCTGATTATAGGTCCCTGGGCCAAACCCAGGGCTTGCCTGCCAGCCCACTGGGCCCGGCCACCCCCACCCCAGAACCACAAGGTTGGAGCATCTGGTCCCCGTCAGCACAGTGGGCAGAGGGAGGGGCCTGAGGGCTGTGCTTGGCTTGCAGAGGACAGAGTTGTCTGTGTGTGGCGTGGGGGTGGCATGGAGGGGCTGCGACACGGGGCAGTGACCGTCCTCTGAGCCAGCATTGCCTTGCCCACCCCCCTAGGGCCATTGCACAGATGAGGGCACTGAGGCCAGGAGGAGCCAGCACCAGCCTAGGTCGCCAGACCATACGGAGTCTCAGACTCCCCCTTGGCCACTCCTTCCCATCTTTCAAGTCCTGGGCTGTGCCTCCGGGAAGCGAGCCACATCCTGTTGGTGGCAGAGCAGGCCTGCTGGGAAGTCCTCCTTGGAGTCAGACTTTCGCCCAAGGCCCCAGGGGTGTGCGAATGGTGCGGGCATTCCTCTCCTCTGGGCCCTCGTGGCTGCCTCGTGCCGCCTAAGCCAGAGTTGGGGCCTCAGTCCCGCCATCTGTGCACTGGGCAGGGCCTAGGGGCCCTGCGTGGGGTCTGTGTCTGTGGTACCCAGCATGAGGAGGTGTGTTCACGTCCATATGGATACACGTGTGCCCTGGTGGGCGAGCGCGGCCAGTGCCCAGACGGGTCCCCGGGACCTGCTGCACAGCAACATTTGACCTACTTCTAAGGCCTGGGTCTGGCGCAGGCCAAGTTCTCAACTCCTCCGGGAAGTGTGGGCCTGCATCCCAGCCCGGAGGCCGTGGGCCAGGAGGGGCGGGCCAGGCCGGGGCGGCCTGCAGAGCCTGTGGCCAGGGGGACAGGGCACGTGGGCAGCCAGACCCTCCTTCCCTGCCACTGGCTCCTGGGCCCAAGGGACAGCCAGACCTCACCCGTCCCCCCCTTGCCTCATCCCTCAACGTGACCACCGATCTGAACCCCCTAAATCAGGTCTGACAGGATGAGGGACATTGCTCATGCCCCCTGAACGTTACCGGGAAGGTCTGCCAAGCACTTGCCCCTGCTGTTTGCCAAGCCTTTGCCCCTCCAGCCTGCCCCACCCGTGTCTGCAGAGCAGTGGGCAGGGCCGGTCTGGAGAACAGCAGCCCTGTCCGGGGTCCCGGGTCTGGGGTCTGGGTTGGGCACTCTGGGATTAGGAGCCTAGGTCCCCTGAGTGGGGTCTGGTCCAGGGTGCTGTGTTCAGCTTCTATGCTTGGGGTTCAGATCCTGGGGCCCGTGTCTGGAGTCTGGGTTTGGGGTTTCAGAATCCAGGTCTGGAGTCTGGGTGGGGATCCTGAGTTCTGGGGTTTGGGTTCAGGATCTGAAGGCCCGTTCCTATCTCTTCTACGCCCCCTGCTGGCTGGTCATCATGGTTGCCTCCCTGACCAATTGCGGGGGGTCACCCCTTCCTCTTTCCCCTGTTGTCTGGACTTCCAGCCAACAGACAGGATTGGGGGGCCTGAGTTGAGGTAGTGGCAGGTGGGCTTAAGGGCAGCCAGCGGCCGCATTGCTGTCCCAGGGTGCCCCTGTCCCTACCAGAGCCCTCATCAGTCAGCCAACCCCCTCTTTCCCGGTCACCCCTCACTCTGCTCCATGGACGACGAGGTTTGGCAAGGGGGTCCTAGTTCTCCTGCAGGAGGTGGGTAAATTGAGATGTTTGGAGCATTTGCTGATCCAACATGTACTGGGCGTCTACTGTATACTGGGCTCTGTTCTAGACTTGGGGACACATAGCTGTGGAAGAATAAAAATTCTGCCTATGCCAGCTGATACTTGTGGGGGTCGGGGGGTACATGTAAGAAGCAGCATAACAAAGAAACAAGTTCACTTGAGGGCGTGCAAGGATGAGGACTCAGGGCGAGAGACAGGGCAGAGGGAGCAGGTCCAGAGTAGTCTGGGGAGGCTTCTCGGAGGAGGTGACATCTCTCTGTGACCAGTGGGTGACCTGCAGCAAGCCCGGACCAGAGCTGGACCTAGTCTGCGCAAAGGCAGGGAGGCTGGGAAGAACCTGGGGGAGGCCAGTGAGGCCCAGGGTCTCCTGCCTCCACTCACAGACTCCCCAGAAGCTGGGCCCACACCTTACCCAGCATTCCCCTTGGCTTCGGGGGGCGGGGGTGTCGGGTGGCTGCTCCTAGACAGGGCTTTGGAATGCGGCACGTGTAAGTCCGCATCGGACAGAGCCACCACTGGGACACTAGAGCCAGAAGAGCCCCAGGTGTAGGATGCAGGCCCCTGTCCAAGCCCCTCGGCTCTCCAGGCCCCTCCAGGCCCTGCTAGCACCTTGCCTGCTGGGTTGTCACTCCCGAAGGCCGTGGAGCTCAGGCCGGGACCTGGGAGAGATGGAACTGAGCCTTGGTGAGGCCTGTCAAGCCCACAGTGCCCTTGCTCCAGGCCTCAACAGCCAGTCCTGCTGGCAGCCCAGGGGACGGCCCTGGGGCTGCTCAGGCTGGGGGTGGGTTAGAGTTTGAGAGTGGTCCTGGGGGGAGCCAGAGCTCAAAGGCCCAACCCGGCCTCTGTCTGAGCCCTGGGTGGGCTAGGGATGGGGGGCGGAAGATGGTGCTGTGCCAGTTGTCCCCCCGGCCGGACTACATCTCCCCTGTGTGTGAGAGAAAGGCACCCAGACACCCTGTCCCCAGCCCCTGACGGGCGCTGGGTGGCTCTGGCTGGCTGCCCCCCGTAGTGCAGGGCTGAGGCCCGGGAGGCCCGAGTTGCTCACCCACTGCTGTTCCAGCTGCTATTGGGTGGTTTCCAAGGGGTGGTGGCTATGTGTGAACAGAACAGGATGAGGAGTCCAGCCAACCCTGTGTATGTCCTCTGCCTCGGGCCTCAGTTTCCCCAGGGTGAATGGAAGGGGGTTGGGCCTGTGTGTGGCTGCAGCCCGTGGGGGAGACCCAGCTGTCCCGAGGGTTGGCAGGCCTGGGCCGAGGGGCCGCCACTCCGTGCGTCCCCCTTTGGCTGTCTTCTCTTGTGGAATTTCTGGCTCGTCTCTGTGGACCCTTCCCCACCCCTTTCTTTCTCAATACTCTTGCCAGACATCTGGCAGAAAAGTGAAAAGCTTGCCTCCCCCCAGCACCGGATGTTGTTAGATTTCCTGGTGTGGGGTGTTCTGTCCTCCAGATGGGGGGGTGTCCTGTGTCCAGCTCCCAGGGGCCCCTCCCTGGACTGCTGTCCCCCTCACCATGAGGCTGAGTGACAGGATGAGAGACCTGGGCCCAGCAGGTCAAGGCCAGGCGGGTCCTCCTCTCAGGCTCCAACCCAGCTCCACACCCGGAACATTCCCAGGTGTCCGGGGGTATCCGGGGGTGGGTGCTGCCTCTGAAGCTTCTATCAAAGGCACTTAAAAATAACAAGGAACACCCCTTTCCCACCCCCCGGCACAGACACTGGGCAAGGAATGGAGCCCAATGTGTTTGCAAGATGTCCCCGCTCTCAGAGCTCTGTGCCTGGAAGGGCCTCCTGCTGCCTCGGCCTTCCCTGCCCCCCCTCCCCGGATGGTGGCCCAGTGAGGCCTCCCTCTGTTACTGCCTTCCGCTGAGGGCTGGGCGCTTCGGGGTGGGCACTCAGGGGAAGAACGGGGGGGGAGCATCCTGAGCTGGGCACCAGCGGGCAAACCTCACCAGGACCCTGGGGTCCCTCATAGAGGCAGACCATCCAAGGCCCCCCCAAAAGGAGGTTGGTCAAGGGAAAGGTGGGGCGCTGGGAGTGGCATCCGAGAGAGCAGGGCGGACGAGCCTTGGACTCACCGATCAGAGGAGGGGTCGGGCACTCTGGCAGAGGGCCGGGGCAGCTCAGGGTCTGCAGCAGGCAGACTCAGAGGAGTGTGGGTACCACGGGCCCCAGGGGCTGGGGAAGAGCAGCACTAGGAGTGAGGGGAAAATCAGGCACGGGCCTCGCCGTTGAACGGGGCTGGACGGCCGCCCTTGAGGGCGAGGCACCTGTTCTACTGCCTCGCAGGGTGTTCTCCGGGACCCTCAGGCTCCCGGCGGGGGCTGCAGCGGCCTGGTTGCCATGACGCTCACACGCCAGCACACAGGCCCGCCCTGACACAAGCACATGGGGCCCACACTCGGAGGCGGGCTGCAGCCCCCGCCCCAGAAGACAGAGCTGTGGCCCGCACGGACCCCCACACGGAGAGACACCAGAGAACATGCAGATCTATACGCCCTCCCACCACAGACACGCAGAGTCCCTCCCCACTCGAACCCCCAGATGCAGAGATGGCAGGGCAGGCACGCAGGACGCACCGCTCACTGCCTCCCTGCCGCGCACAGACCCAGACAGACCCCTGGGGACTCCCGGCACAGGCGGGAAGTTTAACTCAGGAGGCGCCCGGGGCGGCCAGGTCCCTGTGCCCCACCCCGACACCCACTCGGTCCAGCCCTTGGCGCCTGTCGAGTGGGTCGACCTGCTGAGGGACAGCAGGGCCCTGTGCCTGTGGGTCTGAGGGTGTGCTCGGTGTTGAGCAGTGGCCTCTGTCCTCCCCTCCCCTCCCCCTCCCCAACAGGTGATTGGGAGGAATGGACAGCCCTCCCTCTCCCCCACCCATTCCTGAGCCTGAACAATGCCCTCCCCAGGCCCCAAAATAGCCCCTGAGCCTGGCCAATGCCCTTTTATAGCCCTGTCCCTATTGTGCACTGTGGGGGTGGGGCTGGGGGCAAGAGGTGTCCCAGATAAAGGCCGAGGTCGGGAGGCTCACCTACCCTGCTCTCTGCTTCCTTCTCTCCACCTCTTTTTCTGCACTTACAGCCCCCATGGCCCCCAAAAAGCCAGAACCCAAGAAGGAAGAGCCTAAGCCGGCTCCAGCTCCAGCTCCTGAGCCTCAGGTCCCCAAGGAGGAAGTGTTTGATGCCTCCAAGATCCAGGTGGGCGTGGGAACTGGGTTTCCGGGCTGGGTTTCTGCACCAGGGGCAGGGCCGGAACTGGGTCCCAGAGTGCACTGGCTCCGGGTGAGTGGTGAGCTGAGGCCAGGAGCTCCTGTGCACAGGTGAGACCAGCCCTGGGGGCTTCAGGCATTGGGGGGGGGGCTGCAGCGGGAGGGTGGAGGCAGCTATCAACAGGGCTCCCCAGTGCTGCCGAAGGGGATATCTTTTTTTATATAAAAAGATTGTATTTATTTTCAGAAAGGGGAAGGGAGGGAAAAAGAGACAGAAGCATCCATGTGAAAGAGAAACATTGATCAGTTGCCTGCCTTTTGCACAGCCCCAACTAGGAACCTGGCCCACAACCTAGGCATGTGCCCTGACTGGGAATTGGGCTGGTGACCTTTCAGTTCACAGATGGTTCACAGGCCAGCTGCTCAATCCACCAACCAGAGAGCATCTTTCCCTTGCCCTTCTCCTGGGAACTCCCTCACGTCCTTGGGGATTCCTGGAACCACCCGCCCCAGCCCTGCAGCTGGGCAGGAAGCCTCCTTGTCCCGCTGTGGGGTCTCGGGTCCATGCCAAGTTCCCCAGGGTAGACAGGGCGGGGAGGCGGGAGGTAAGGCCCCTGCCCAGGCTGGGTCACACTCACCCCAGCCGAGGTGCCTGAGCCCCAGAGCGGGCGTGGGGGGGGGTTAGCTTTTAGGTGGGGAAATTGAGGCACAGGCTGGGAAGTCGTGCAGGAGGCTGGTCTTAGGCTGTGGCCAGTGGCCCCGAGAGCCCTTCTGCAGCTGTCTAAACTTGGAGGACCGGCCTGACTCCCACCTGTGGCATTTGCATAGCAGCACGCACCCTGCATCCTGCCCGTTCCCCGTTCTTGGCTGGCCCCCAGCCACAGCGGCCGGCTGCCTGCCGGCTGAGGCGGAGCCCTCCCAGCCCCTCGGGGCTCCCACGGGCCCAGCGGGACCTGCAGCCCTCTGCACAGATTGAACTCCCATTTGAGAGCCTTTCCTGGAGGTCCTCGCCTTGTCCCTCCAGACATGGGTTCGAATCCCTTCCCTGCTCAGAGGCTCCGTTTTCTCGGCTGTGGAATGGGGCAGCCGCCCTCCTAGAAGGCTGTTATGAAATGTTCACATCTACTGCTCCCTGGAGTGGGCTTCCTGAACTCCGGCTGCCCCTCAGGCCTCAGGCTTGTGTCCCACCACGTCCCCTGGTGAGGGTCCGACCACCCTGGATTCATGGTGGCATTGTCCAGTCTCACTGGGTCTGAGGTTGGCACTCACTCCCTTCTAAGAGGAGGGGATAGTGAGGCCCCTCAGGTGTCCTCCCAACCCCCCAGGTGGCTGGTGAAGAGCAGAGGGCTCTGCCAGGAGCCCGGGAAACCTGATGTCAGCGGGCTTCCTGGTTGGGGAGAGCTCTCGGGGCCCAGGGGACGCTCCAGGGCAGGGTGGCAGGGGCAGGGTGTCCCTCTCGCTGCTGTGTACTATGGAGGTTGGCAGGACCCCAAGACAGCAGAAGCGGGAGAGGTGCCAGTAACGTCGCCCTGTGCCAAGCTCCTTTCTCTCCTACAACCTTGACCTTGGGGCAAGTGACTGGAGTGATAAAAATAGATCTGGTATCTGATGAGGAGGGGGAGACCGGGAGGGACCAGGTCCCAGGAGGCCTCCCGACCTCAGGTGTCCCCGGTGTGACTTCAGCAGCACGGCCCTGGCTCCCTGCCCCATGGATGGAGGTGTGCACAACCCAGGTGTGGGCAGGGCCCTGTGAGGGACAGTGCCCAGCCTCCAGGGCTCTGTGAGGGTGGACATGTGCACACACGTGTTGGTACATACACTCACATGCGCATATCACACACACACGCACCTTGTCGAGATGAGCTCTCCCCTCTTGCTCATGCGGCCGGTCCTGTCCACTGGGCCCCAGCCAGGCGGGGTAGCCAAGCCAGTCTGGTCAGATCTGTGGCTTCAGGCACCTCTGTCCGGGACCAGAGGCCTCAGGTAAGGCCCACCCTGAGCTGCAGACTCAGGGCACCAGGCCTTCCTCCTCACCGCTTCCTACCAGGTGTCAGGGTTTGGGCGCTGTCAGATGCAAGGCCTCAGGGCAGGCGGGTGAGGGAGCAGGAGGGTGTCGAGGTGGACGGCAGGAGGTCCTGGGCGATGCAAGCTGGGGTGCTCGATGGAGACAGGTGGGACGGCTGAGGAGCTGAGGGCTGGGCTGGCCTCCAAGTGACCAGGAGGGTGCCTGGCCCTTCCCTCCGAGCCAGGCACTCAGGGTCTTTGGGGTCTCCTTTCAGATCGAGTTTACACCGGATCAGATTGAAGGTGAGTGGGGTCTTGACCCTCGGGGCTGCAGGGTTGGGCCTGGGGCCCCAGTCTGAGAGTCGGTCGGCAGTGTGGCCGAGTGTGGGGGCTCCCGCTGGGGGTGTCCACAGCTCCACCCTTTCCCGGCAGAGTTCAAGGAAGCCTTCATGCTGTTTGACCGCACGCCCGGTGGCGAGATGAAGATCACGTATGGACAGTGTGGGGACGTCCTGCGGGCCCTGGGCCAGAACCCCACACAGGCTGAAGTGCTCCGAGTCCTGGGGAAGCCAAAGCCGGAAGGTTGGTACATCTAACCTGAGAGCTCCCCACTAGTGCCAGTTCCCCAGGAGACCACCAGGGGGCGGTGCCATCTGCAGTGGGACAACCCAGGACCCTCCCTGCTGTGCACTGCCCTCCCGTTGCCTGGATGAGGACATTGAGGCTGGTGTCAGGGGATGCTGACGAGGTGACGAGCAGTGCTGCTTTGCTGTCCCCCCTGGCCCCGTGACGATGCACCAGGCCTCCTGGTCAGAAGGGACTGACAACAGTGCAGCCTGGCTTCGGTGGCTGGTGTGAGCGGGACCAGGGGCCCCACTGCCCCTTCTTGCCCCCTCGGTATCCCTCTGTGGGTCAGGGCCAGCTTCCCTCGCCACACTGGCCAGAGAGGGTGTGGTTCAAAATTCAAAAGGGAAGATTCCAAAGTCCCGGGGGAGGCTTCTATTGGCTCAGCAGCTCCAGACCAACCACAAGTGGCAGGAGGGCGGGGCCTATGAAAGGTGGAGGTGAGCAAGGACTGTTTTCCAAAAGGAGAAGGGAGGTGCTGGACACAGCCCTGGTTCTCCCTGAGAATGGCGGAGGCTGTGTGAGAGCCCACTTCTCGGGTGACCGTGAAGCGCCCCATGGGGGTGGAGCGCTTTGGGAACCGTGTGAAGGGGAAGGTCTGCCTGGGCCTCAGGACGCTCTCTCCACAGAGCTCAACACTAAGATGATGGACTTCAACACGTTCCTGCCCATGCTCCAGCACATTGCCAAGAGCAAGGACACGGGCACCTTCGAGGACTTCGTGGAGGGGCTGCGGGTCTTCGACAAGGAGGGCAACGGCACGGTCATGGGCGCCGAGCTCCGCCATGTCCTGGCCACACTGGGTGAGGGCGGCCTCACCTGGCCCCACTGCTCCGTGGGGGGTGGGGCATCCTGGGAGGAGCTACTCTCTCGGCCCCCCTGAGGCCCGTGTCTCATCTGAAATGGAGGGTGACACAGTCAAGGAGCCTCTGGCAGGTGACAGAAACGCAGGAGATTTAGAAACTTAGGTGGCGAACAGAGGAACTATGTCAGCGCAGCTCACAGAACGAAGTGAGAGAGGAACAGCCTGGGCCCAGGGTGGGGCAAAGCGGCGCATCCAGGGGGATCAGCTGAGTCCTGGGGTTCACTGCCTCATGGTCAAGGTCCAGGGCCCTGTCACAGAGCGGCCGAGTAGGTCACGTGCCTGCCTCTTGAGCGTCCTGACCCTCACTGTCAGGTGCCCCCTGCTCTAAGATACTTCTTTCTGCAGCAAATATTTACTGAGCACCTGCTGGGCACTCAGACCTGTGCTGGTCCGTGTGTGTGTGTGTGTGTGTGTGTGTGTGTGGCGGGGGTGGGGGGAGAAACTACAGTTGCCCTTCCAGTGGAGGTCCAGCACAGCTCGCACGCAAAAACACAGACAAGAAAGTGCCCGCCTTGCCTGGGGAGCAGTGGTCCCTCCGTAGTCCCCCCCGCCCTGGTTCCTAGCTCACCCCCACCAGCCTGTGGTGGACAGAGCAGAGGTGCGCTGCTAACTTGAAGGCCAGCATGGCACCGTTAGGACGGGGCCCAGGCTCGGAGCGGGCACCCCAGGCCCTGCCCTTCCTGGCCTGTCGCTGATGCTCCTGATCTCAGAAAGGAGGGTTATGGCCAAGGCCCTGTGGGCCACGGTGGCCGTGCCAACACGAGGCGAGGGGCTGCTGGAGAGGCGAGGCCGCTGTGTCCAGCCCTTCGCTGCTCCGGACAGTGCTGACTGGGCCTCCTGCTCGTCAGGTGAGAGGCTGACGGAAGAAGAGGTGGACAAGCTGATGGCCGGGCAAGAGGACCCCAACGGCTGCATCAACTATGAAGGTGGGCTCAGGGGGGCAGGAGGCCTTCGGGGGCGGGGCCCAGGAACCCAGGCTGGACCCGCCACTCACTCGCCCCTTCTCTCCAGCGTTCGTGAAGCACATCATGGCCAGCTGAACCTCCCCCCGCAGGTGAGACCCCGCTTCCTCCCGAGCCTGCTGCCACCTCTGCCGATTTCTGCCTTGTCCCCGCCCCGGCCTCTGTCGTACGGATCCCTCTTTCCACCTCCCCAACTTCACCCACTCCAGCGCTCAGTTGACATCCTGCTGCCTCACTTGACCCCCTGACTGTAACCTGTGACCCCTTTGCTCTTAGGGATCCCAGGGCGGCCACGCGGGGGATAGTAGGGGACGCTGACGTCAGTGGCCCGGAGCGGCGGGAAGGAGGGGGCACATCTGCAGCAGCTCCCTCCATGCACCCCCAGACCCGTCTGTGTGGCTGTCACCTCCTGCACCCCTCCCCCACGCCGCGCAGGCTGCGTCCGCCTGTGCCTGCCTCTCTGCCCCTGAGCCATGGGCCCTGTGAATAAATGCCTTCTCTCCTTCCTCCTCTCCTCGCCTCTCTTCCTCTCCTCCCTCCTCCCTCCTGCCCTTCACTTCCTCTCCTCTCCGTGGCCCTTTGGTTGACTTCTGTAGATGCTACGGGCCAGTGAGCCCTGGACAAAACCGAGGCCTCTCGGGATGCTGCTCACCTGCTGGAACCGGCCCCATCTGGTGTGCCAACCCTGTGAGCCTGGTCCCCAAGACCCTGGGGTAGGAACAGGGCTGAATGCGAAGGGGCCTGGGGGTCCCCCATGCTCTGCTTGCCCCTCTTACCCTTGAGGTGGCAGCGGGCTGTGGCCCCTAATACGGAGATGCCACCGGAGCTGGAGAGCACAGGCTGAGTGGTCTCAGCCCATGACCAGCAACCAGGGGCTCGTGACACAGGTGGGAAGAATGAGGCCCAGGGTAGAGGACAGCCTCTCTCGAATCACAGCGGGAGTGGGCGGCAGGGCAGGGGCCAGCTTTGTCCCCAGCCTGTCGGGGCTGAAGAGGCCTGAGACGCCTGCCTGACTCAGACGGGGAAACCGAGGCGCTCTGCCCGAGCTGTGGCTGTCGCCCGAGGAGAAGGCCGCGCTGGGGCAGCACCCAGGGTCTGCCGGCGAGTTCCTCAGCCCTGGGCTTCTCAGCAGAAGACAAGCGTGCAGACCCCAAGCGTGTGGCGACACTGGAGATACAGGCTGAGGAGGAACCCAGAGTCGGGAAGGGGCTGCGCGTGCACGCCGGCGTGTGTGCGTGTGCATGTGTGTGAGAGGCGGGAGGCGTTGACATGTTAGATGGCGAGGCTAGTGATGATCTGAGAAGGTTACGGTTGGGTAAAGATTTAAAGAAGTGTATGTAATATCCAGAATATGTAACGAATTTCTGCCCGGTCTGGTGTGGCTCAGCGGGGGGTGGGGGTGGGGCGTCATCCTGCCACCTGAAAGGTCGCTGGTTTGACCCCAGTCAGGACGCAGGCCTGGGTTGCGGGCTGGGTCCCTGGTCAGGGGCGTTCGAGAGGCAACTGGTCGATGTTTCTCTCCCTCACCCACGTCTCTCTCCCTCCCTTCCCTCAAACAATTCCTACAATTCAACAACAACAAAATGAACAACCCAGTGAAAAAATGGGCCAAGGGTCTGAACAGACATTCTCCACAGAAGATGCACATGTAGCCAAAAAGCACATGACCTGACGCTTAACGACCCTCATCCTTGGGGAAATGCAAATTAAAACTATCGTGCCCATTAGGATGGGTATTATCCCAAACCCAGAAAACAGCAAGTGTCGACTGTAATGCAGAGAGATTGGGCCCCTTGGGCACCGCTGCAAGATGGTGCCGCTGCTATGGAAACGGTGTGGCGCTCCTCAGAAACGAAAAACGCAGCCACCGCGTGACCCAGCAGTCCCACTTCTAAGCACACACCCAGGGGAACTGAAGGCAGGGACTGGAAGAGACACCCACACGCCCCTGCCCACGGCGGCATCGCCCGCAGCAGCCAGGGGTGGAGACAGCCCAGGTGCCCATCGCAGACGGGCAGGCCAGCACGGTGGGGGGTATGCGTGCAGTGGATGGCGTTCGGCGTGAGGGGAGGACATTGCTGACACATGCTGCGACACGGGTGAACTTCCAGGGTATTGTGCCAAGGGAACTAAGCCAGCCGCAGACGGACAAATATTCTATGTGATGCCCCTTATACGAGAGACCTGGAGTAGTCAAATTCACAGAGATGGAAAGCAGAAGAGTGGTTGTCAGGGGCTGGGGAGAGGGGGGATGGGGAGTTTTGTTAAAGAAAAGAGAAACAAAAATGAGAGGAGAGATGGGGTGTCCTGGTCTGGGCCTCCCCAGGAGCGGCGCCCCTGGGAGGCGTGGCAGCGTGGCTGGGGGGGAGGGGGAGCGTGTGGGGGAGCGGACGGCTCTGTGGGCAGTAGGGGCGCAGCCTCCCTGGGGACCTCTAGGAGATGGCAGAGTGGTCCCACCGAGGGATGCGGCGACCAGACCACTGATTCCTGACCCCCCATCGGCACAAGTGGGTGCAGGGCCCCACAAAAGCTCCATCTCTCAGCAGAGGCTCTGGGGTGCCACCCGGGGCTGCCCAGGGGACACAGAGGGTCCTGAGGTGGAAGAAGGGAGGTGACAAAGGACCTGTGGCCGGGGAAGAGCTTCGAGGTGTGTTCTCGGATGGTGGCTTATCGGCCTCTCTCTGGCTGCTGGGTGGGGAACGGGCTGGGGACACTGGCAGGGACCGTGGGCAGGCCCCGTGGAGGTGGGGGGAGTGGTCTGATTGCAGGTCGTCGTAGTGGATGGCCGCAGCAGTCTCAGCAGCAGCTCAGGCAAATTCTGAGGTTTCCCAGTTCCTTCCCGCACCTCCGTGTAGTCCACTCCGGCCCCAGGCGCAGCTGCGGTCTGCCCTCTCATGCTGCCGCCTCTGACTGGCCGGGGGGACAGGGAACAGAGGCACCTGTGGCCTCCCCGTGGCGGCTCAGCTGGAGGGGGTGTCTCCGTGTGGCCTTGCTGGACCCCGGCTGGCCTCCCTGGCCAGAGCGGTGGCAGACCCCTGCAGAGGGAGCAGGGCCTCGATTTGGTCCTAATCAGGGCAGGGAGCCACCTGATGTGGCCACTACTCTGCGTAGCCCCAGCTCCTGCTTGTCCTGTGGACCTTGCTCCTGGACCCCCAGCCCAGAACTGCCAAGCTCCCTTCCGAAAGTCTCCAGGGGCTGCAGGGGACTGAGTGGTCTCAGGCTTTTCTTTCAGGGCACGTCCTGGGCTAGGGTCCTGCGGGCAGGGCCGCCCCTGTTCTCAGCCGTCTCCAGGTCAGAGTGGGTGGGGCACAGGCACCTGGAGGGGGGCTCAGCTGCTGGGGTGAGGGTCCGCCTCCCTCGCACCCCCGCCCCAGTCGGCTGGTGGTGTGTGTGTATTTCTTTGTGTTTCTGTGTGTGTGAGTGTGCTGTGTTTGCAGCATGTCTGTGGGCGTGAGTGTCCGCATGTGCACACTTGTGCGTGCCTGTGCTCACTGGCCTGCGTGCTATCTCGCTGTGTGTCTGTGTCTGTCTGCTTGTGCGAGTGTCTGGTGTGTATGTGCTAGGGACTCTGCCGAGTCAGCGCTGGTGCCGAGCGGGCGGCACTGCCAGCCAGGCTGTGGCCTCCCCACAGTTGCGTAAACACTGGTCCCGGCCTCCCCCTCGAGCAGGGTGGTCCAGCTTGTGGCCCCGTGGGCTGGCGGAAAGCCGTGGGAGGGGTCAAGGGCTTTGCCCCCCTCAGCCTGGTCCCCTCCATACCAAAAGCGCCATGTCACGTGCCCCAGGAGTCGGTCTGGGGTCTCTCTGTGTCCCTTTTCCCCCGTCCGGCCTGAGGCCGGGTCTCTGAAGTCTCTCTGGGGTGGCAGGAGAATCCGCCCCCTGGTCCTGGACCGGCCCGAACCAGGGGGTCCGTGGGGCAGCCAGGAAACTGGGGACCAATGCCCCGGGCTCCTGGCAACCTGTCACGCCCTGTGTCCTCTCTCCGGACACCATCCACAGGGACGGCAGGTCACCACTGGGACGTGGGTCAGAGAGCACTGAGTGGGGGCCCAGACAGCCAGAAATTCAGGCCCAGGTAGAAGGAAGTCAGGCAGAGCCTTGAGGAAATCGAGAATCGGAGGAAGACCTTATGTGGTCACCGGAAGGAAAGAAATCCGACTGTGGGGCTCAAACACCCTGCTGCCGAGGGGCAGGCAGAAGGCTGACGAAGATCTTAAGAGAAATCAGGGTTAGAATGGAAGGGTCCAAGCAATGCGGTGTGTGAAATCGGAGGGGCGTGCAGGGGAGGCGGGAGGGGGCAGGGAGGAGCAGGAGAAATTGGGCCACCGTGGGACAGGCAGCCCTCCTGTTGCATAAGCGGTGCTGAGGGGGCCAGGATGGAGTGCTCTGCTGTTGGTCCTGAGGCCTGGGGCGGTGGGGAGGGTGGGAGGGAGGGGTGGGGATGAGCCTGCCTGGGTATAGGGCCAGCCACACCCCAGGGTATGCTGACCCGGGCACCCCAGACAACAGCAGGAAAACCCCAGACCTTGAACCCGCTGACCCAGCTCAGAAGTGTCTCCCTGGGGTTCTCCCGAGTCTCTTCAACAAGCCCCAGGCCTGCCCTCACCCAGCTTTGGGGGTTATTTGTTCCCGCCCTCCCAAAGCCACACAATCCTGGTTTGCCCAGATGCTGACAGAGCACAGCTGGAATGTGGAGCGCGTGTGAGTGTGAGTGTGTGCGCGTGTGAGGCCTCCAGGGCTGGCTGCCCAACGAGCCCCTCCAGTCTCAGCAGCCAGGGCCCCCTGGACAGGGCAGGACCTAGAAGGTCAGGGCTCCTCCCTAGCCTGGCTGAGGATGCTCGAGGTTCCACCGTTCTCTTCCAATCCTTGCTCCCTTCTCTGGCCCGTGCATCCAGGTACCATCCAAAGCCACCGAGGGCTTGATGAGAAGGGCTGTGTCACAGGTCTTTCCAGAGAGTAAGGGAGCTGGAGGACTCTGGAACTCCGGAGATGGGAGACAGTGTCCCTTGAAAAGCCTCAGGTTTTGGCCAACTTCCTGATTTTTATACTTTGGTTCAGCCAAACACGGTCGCTGCTTTCCCCGCCATGATTCTTGTGCCACAGGTCTGGAGGCGTCTGTTTTCTCTCGCCTCTGCCCCTCTTCCATCTCACTCCCCTCCCGGTCTCTTTCTTACCTCCCCATGGTGCTTGGAAGCCACTTAAAGGTGCTCTGGAATAACACGCCCAGCTACCAGCTAACTGGGGTAGGTAGTGAGGACCCTGTTCCAAGGGGTGTGCAAATAGGGGCGGACCAATTCCAGTAGGGAGGCTGCAGAATGGGTCCTCGCTCCGGCAGAGACTGGAAGCACATGGACGCCCCCAGGCCTGGGCCCAACCTGGGAGTGTTCACAGAGGAGAGTGAGGTCACGTTGGGCCTTTCCAGGAAGCTCCTTTGTTCTGCACCTTCTGAGGCCTGTCTTCTGAAATCATGTCCTGCCCCCCCCCTTTTTTTTTTGGCCTTGAGATTTTCCTTTTGTTTTCAAAACAATAGTGGGGGTAGCTGGTGCCTCTTGTTTTCCATGTTTTTGGCAAAATTAGACCTTACGAGTCAATTTTTAAGTTTTGAAGCAATTTCCATTTTTTCCAGTCAACATCTTCCCAAGGCCCTGGACACAGACCCTTGAATGGGGTAGACCCTTTCCAGGCCCAAGAGACATTTGAATCAACTCATCCATCCATCTGTCTGTCTGTCCGCCTGCCTGCTCACACCCCCCCCCCCCATCCAGCCATTATGTAACTGTCAGGTGCCAGCTGTGCTCCATCTGTGCTGATGGACAGAGGCCTGGCCCTGCCCATCGGGATGGTGTGGGGGGTGGCAGGGGCCATGCGGATGAGCCCCTGGGGCTGGCGGCTACAGGCGAGGTCAGCGCTGGGGGTGGGGCACACAGGTGAAGGTACCCCAGCTCCCTTTGCTGGAGTGCCTGCAACCCTGAGATTCTAAGTGTCCCCAACCCCCCCCCCCCCCCCGCCGTCTCCACCTCTGGAGCCTGCAGTGGGAGGTGGGAAGCCAGCGGCAGCGCCTCCTGGTGTTGAGGGACAGCACAGGGGGTGGGGTGGTGCTGCTCTGGCAGGAAGGCAAACCTTCAGTGGTTGTTCCTTGTCTGGGAAGAGAAGCAGAGCTCAGGGCTGAGGGATGGGAGGGGAAGCTGGGCCCATTTCGGGAGCTTCAGGGGTGCCCTCTGCGTGGCCTGGCCAGACTGGAGGGGCCTGGGCTGGAAGCCCCCAGGAGGGTTCTGCATCTCCCGGCAGAGACAGCTTCGGTCAGCTAGGAGCGGCCCCTCTCTCAGGACCCCAGGCTCTGTGCACCCATGTCCCATGGGGTGCCTTCCTTGTGCCAAGGGGGATTCCTGGGGGTAGACCTGGAGGTGTGGGCAGGCCCTGGGCCCCCAGGTTTGCTGTGGATGGTGAGGACCCTCCAGGGCCACATCATGGGACACCGCCCACCCTCCTGGGCACCAAGAGCCCAGCAATCAAGCCCCCTTACCCAGAGTGGACATGCCTGGCTGTGGGGTCAGCAGTGGCAAGATGGCCACAGGGTATCAAGTGTGACCTCCAAACTCAATTCCCAGCACTGCCAGCTTGCCTTCCCCACCTGGGCTCCTGCCTCAGTTTCCCCTGTGGTCAGAGTCCCTCCCGGAGGTGGAGGCCCTGACTCCTGCAGGCTGCTTTCTGCCCCTGCCCCTCGAAATAGGACCTGGGTCAGACCCCACAGAACTCATCAGTCCGAAGAGATCTCGCATCTACTGCGCTTCCAGCGCTTCACCAGGTGCCAGGGCCTTACAGTGACCCAACCAGGAAAATGCCTAGACCAGGTCCTGCTCCGGCCTCAGGCCAGCTCCCAGGCCTTCTGTCCTTGGGCCGTGGCCTTCATGCTCAGACCTGCCTAACTGCTCCCGAGCAAGCGAGGAGGGCTCCCACACCCCACTCCTCGGCAGTGCGGGCTGTGCCTCCTGACCCCAGACTCTGACCTCAAAGTTGGGCAGAAAGGGGCCTCAGACACCTGGGCCGACCTCTTTTCCAGGCCGAGTCTGATGAGCTGCTACTGGCTCGAAGACCCCCAGCGATGGGGAGCTCTCCCCGTGTTTTGCTGGACGGGGCGGCTCTCTGACATCGGGCAAAACTCTGTCAAGGGCCTGTCTAGTCTCCTCTCTAGTCTCCTCTCTAGTTTCCCAGATTCTAGAACTAGAGCCTTAGACCTGACCCTCCCCTTGCCTGGCCCCTCGGTGGTCTGCTGGGCAGACCTAGCCCTCCTAGTTTCTAGGTGGGCCTTGCCTTCTGTAAAACTCTGACGCAGTGAGGAACTCAAGTTGTTAGGGCCCTGAGCAGGCCAGAGGCCTGGGAACTGTCTGCACACTTGCTTCAGTGGGAGGTGGGGGTGACGGGAGACATGGGCTCCCTGTGCCTGGTAGAGGGGACCCCTGAGGTCACCTGTGTAGAAGGTGGCCCACAGGGTCAAGCAAGACAGTGTTATGTATGGGAGGGTGATAGGGGTGCACGTGAGGATCCAAGCTTGAGGGGAGGTAAGTTCGGGTGTAGCCCGTGAGAGGAGGTCCCTGCAGGGGCCCTGAGGCTGTCTCGCAGCCTCAGTTTGCCTTCTGTGCTGGGCTGCAGCCGTGGGACCCTCTGGTGTTCTGAGCCCTGGAGAGGCCCCTTCTGGATTCTGAGCGTGGGGCTCCGGGTGGTTGGGGGAGGTGACAGCTGCTTTGAAATGTGGAGAATAATAAAGCTAGGAATGTCTGAGCTCAGGGGAAAAATAGCCCCCGCGGGCCTCCCACCCAGGAGGAGTGTAATGAATTAAGTACAGGGAGGCACGTTTCATGTAGGGTGGGGGAGGCTAGAAGGCCCCTAATGAGAAACAGGGTCTCGGGCGGGGCTGCTGAGAGCTGGGGGTTTGGAGCCTCCAGACTCGACCGCTGTGGGGTGCCCTTACTCTCCAGAGGCTTCCTCTCAAGCTCCCTTTGCCTGTATGGGCAAGAGAGTGGGGTGCTGACCTCTGACCCCAGTGCTGGCCCAAAAAGGTCAGAAAGAGGAGAAGCTATGGCTGACTCGGAGGGACAGCTCCTCATTCTCACTCTTCCTCTAGCATTTGCTGAGCACCCACTGGGTGGGTGCTCCTGCTAGCGGGACGATGGGGCCAACGCTGCCCCCTGCTGGACTGATCAGACCTGCAGCTCTGGCCAACAGCCTCTTGCCAGTAAGCCCCCCAGGCCCGAGGCTGCCTGCTGCCTCCAGCCTCCACTGCCCCTCTGCCAATCCCTCCCTTCCACTCCTGTGATCCCAGCCCCAGCTCAACTGCCCTCCCCTCCCCCACTGTCTCCCTGAGGATTGGACATCTGGTCCTCGGGTCTGGGGGATCTGGCTTTTCTACTGGTCATTCCCCCCCCACCTCTTGTACCTCTCTCCCCGGTAAACTTAATGTTCCCCCAATAAGACCCCCACTCTCAGGTCTCCCCTCATGCTGTTCCCTCTTTCTTCTCTGCCTGGTGGACCCCCATCATTTACCCTAAAGACTGCTTTCTAAAAGCCCACCCCTTCCCAGAGGGGACCAGGGAACAATGGGTAAGGGGGTAGTCAAACTGTCATGAAAAGGGAGAATTCTCCGAGAGGGCGCTGGAGCGGGGTGAAGCAGGTGCGGTTGTTGCTCGGGCTCCTCAAGGGTGCTGACCCCAGCCTCTGCCGGCTTGGGGCTAGGCTCTCACTTTATTTTTAGGAAGTGTGGGCCCCAACTCGGAGCGCCTTGGCCTGTTCTCCCCCACCCACTTTAATTAAAACCATTGTTTTTCAAGCACATGTTAATTAAAAAGCAAACATGTTTTGCTAAGTAATTTGGAGGCTCTGGTTATGTAAACCAGAGTTATTCCAGTTGACAAATCCCTCACCCAGCTCGCCCCAGTACCCAGGGGGCTGAGGATCCTGGTGGTTACGGTAGGTGCACATCCCTCTGGAGTGAACACTCCCTGGAGAGGTCTAGCTGGGGCATGCGCTCCTCTGCATCTCACAGGTGGGGACACCGTGGAGACATGGAGGTCTAGATTCCTTGCAAGCTCTGCCAACATGTGCTTTGGGCCCTGGCAGTAAGAGCTGGTAAGGAAGGGCGATGGGCCCATATGCCGCACCCTGCAGGGACGATGCTTGTCTCAGAGCCACCACCCAGCTGTGGGGTGAAGGGAGGAGGGTGGGGGCATGCCATTGCGAGCCCAGCCAGGAAGACAGGTGGGTTCTGAGTGGCCAGCGTCACCTTCCTGAGGTCTCCAGTGTGGCTGCAGCTATGGTTCCCGAAGCTGGGACAGGAGGTTCCTGAGGTGAAGGTCCAAAGTGAGGACGGGCCCAATGGGTGGGGGGAGCCCTAGTGCTCAGAGGCGCCTGCTCCAGCCCCAGCTTCCTGCTTTGAGCCTGGATATGCCCGCAATGCCATGTCCCGACCCTGGCTCCTGGCTCTGGTTGTCCCGGGGTCTCTGGGGCCTTTCATGCCCTGGGCAGCACCCTCAGGGTCTATTTCAGGGATCCAGAACCTTGCAGATTCTGGGGTCAGTGATCTCCAGGCCCTCCTGCTCCCCAGCCCTGGCAAGGGTGCTGGCCTCTCACCAAGAGGTCTCCCCAGGCCTTACCACTATCTGGTGACCCGCCTGCTGGCCCCCCAGGCTCGGAGTCCCGCTAATAGGAGAGTGTCCCCTTATGTGTGCCTCCATGTGTGAATCTGTATCCAGGCATGTGTCCGTGTCTTCCTATGTGGTCTGTGTGTATCACTGTTAGCCATGACCCCGGTGTGAAGGGGTCCTTTCTTCCCTTCTAAAGGAGAAGTGCCCAAGGTCCTGAGGAAGGAGGGTATGGGTGTGCGTGTGGGGGGACAGTGACCAGGGAGCTGGGTTTGTGTATAGGGGGAGGGGGAGTGAGCCCCAAACACTGACCCCAGCACCGTGGAACATGTGGGCTGGCTCGGAGCGTTTGCCCACACACGGGGGCACAGGCTCGGGGTTAAGGCAGCCAGGAGCCCAGCCTCGTGCCACCGCCCTGGCCGTCCTCCTCTGCACTCGGCCTTCTTTTCTGTAAAATGAGAAGTATGTGCTGGGGTGTGTGCAACTTGTTACACGCAGTGTTTCCCCCACGGGGACATACACACCCTCACAAGCCACGGCACACGGTGACACGCAGCGACACATGTTGGTGGCCGGCTCCCAGGGCTCAGCCAGCCCTGGGCGATGCGCCAGTGACACACACGCTGCTGCCTCCCCGCTCACACCCACATCCCGGGAGGAGTCGCTGCTCCTGCCGCGCGCCCCCGGCCGGCCCGCGGCGGCGCTTCTGTGCTCCGTTCCCCTCGCCGCTCCGGGAAACCGCAGCGGGGCGGGCCGGGATGAGCTCACGCCGCCGCCCGCCAGGCCGCCCCGGCCTAACTCGCTCCAGATGCCGGGCGGCCCAACAGGCCGGGTCTGCGCCAGGGGATGGCACTCGGTCGCCCCCTGCGGGGCACTGCGCCTGGCCTCGGGGAGGTGGGGCGAGCGGCTCCGGAGGGACAGGGCTGGGGGCTGGGGGCCGCCGGCTGCCCACCCAGGAAGGAGGAACTTAGTCTCCTCCGGCTTTTTCTTAGGCCCCGCCCGCTGCCTTAGTGTGGTGCTGGGTGCGAGTCTCCGTGAAGGCTGCCCTGCCTGCCCCCGCGTGGCTTCCAGGCCACAGTCCGCGACCCCTCCCTGGTCGGCTCAGTTCCACGTGCTGTGTGGCCGTCCCCCACGCAGGTTGCCCTTGCCAGAACGTCTGGGTAACCCCGCCCGGTCTTTCCCGCCATCCCCGGTTCCCCCGGACGTCCTGATCCACAACCAGGTACTGCGGCTCAAGTCTCCCGCCTTCGCGGCCCTGGCCAGGCCCTGCTCACTCTTGTTCCTCTCGGAACAAACACCCTAGTTTCTACTGGGAAAGCAGCAGGGGCCTGACCACCGCCTGTTTTTAATCAGGAGCTGGTATTTCCCCGAAATCGCGGGCCCGTGGCTGACCTCACGGGGATGACGGCTGGCCCTGGGCCAGGGGGCGGAGCCGGCTCCCGAGTGAGCCCCTGCCGCCTGGCCTGGCGGAGAAGTCCGCAGGGAGGAGGGGTCTGGTCTGCAGTCCCAGCTCTGCTGCTGGCTCCTCCAGAAAGCTGTCCATCCGTCCGTCTGCTGTGTTGTGTGCCCTGGGCCCCTTCTCCCCAGCCCTGCCCCTGCCTCGTATGATTCCGGGAAACTTAGCCTCTCACCTCTCATTTCCTTGCCCGCGGGATGGTGCTGCGGTGGGATTAGAGAGGGGGCCAGTGCCGGGGAGCAGACAGACCCCAGGAACGGTGATTTCCAGAAGGCGGGAGGAGGGGGCTTTTGGGGAAGCTGAAGGGCCAGGCAGTGATCAGGCCCTGGGCTTCCTGGGGCAGGGTTCGGGAGGTAGGAGATGCAACAGGCAGGTAGGCAGATGGTGGGCACGTGCGGTGGCTGGAAGATTTTGTTCGTTAGCTCCGAAGCCTGCACTTTCCAGCTGCTGGGGGCCCCTTCTGAAAGTAACAATAACAGTGATGAATACTGATTGAGCACGGCGTGTGCCGGGCAATGCTCTAAGGACTTACAGGTATTAATGCATTCTGTCCTCATTACAGTTCCATCCATTCAGTCATCCATCCATCCATTCCTTCAACAGATATTTACTGAGTGCCTACTATGTGCCAGACATGTTCCAGATGCTGGGAATACAGCAGTGACATGACAGACAAAACCCCTGCCTGCATAAAGTTTACACGTGGAATATGCACACGAGTAGAAGACAGAGTTCGTCAGATTGTGAGAAGTGCCGCAGAGTATGGTAGAGGGGGTGAGAGGGATTGAGAGGGCGGAGTTGTGTGGCGGGACAGTTTTTGAGAGCGTGTCTCGGAGAGCCTCCATGCGGAGGTGACATTTGAGGATAGTTGGCCCACCATCTCTTAGCCGAGAATGATTTTCAGAGAAGGACATTTGCAATCAATTCCATGGTAGGAAACATTAACTTTGATGTTATGCCCCCCGAAATAATTTTATTCTTGTCCTTAGTTGACCTATGTTACCAAGAAAACAAAAACAAAAAGCAGTACTCAGTTCTTTTTTTTAAATATATTTCACGCCCTGACTGGTGTAGCTCAGTGGATTGAGCACGGGCCTGCAAATCAAAGGATCGCAGTTCTCTTCCCAGTCAGGGCACATGCCTGGGTTGCAGGCCAGTTCCCAGCAGGGGACGCACGAGAGGGAACCATACATTGATGTTTCTCTCCCTTTCTCCCCCCTTCCTCTCTAAAGAAAAATTATATTTCACATTTCATCAATAAACAAAATTGTGGACATTTGTTTTCTCTCTTATTATATATAAATACCTGCATAATAGTCTTGATTTTGTCTCTCAGGCAATGAGCTGTGTGGATATTTGGGGGCAGAGGGTCAGCCAGTGAGGTGTATCAAGAAGGCTCATGTGTCTGGGGCCCTGGGAGTCAGGAGGACAGTGATGAGAAAGGGTCACAGGAACCTGGGCACGGGGTATGACATCCTCTGCCAATTCCTAGGTATTTGCAAAAATGTGAGTGGCTATCATTAATAGAATATTTTTTCCTACTACATATTCTAATTTGTTATTGCTAAGGAATAGAAAGCTATTGATTTTGTATATTGATCTTTCCCCAGCCCTCTTAGGTTTTTTTCCTATTGTTTTATTAATTTTTCAATTGGTTCATTTGGATATGTTTTAGAAGGCAATTATATGTTTCACAAATGATGCATTTCAGATCTTCCTGCCCATGTATAACTCAGTTTCTTCCTCCCCTCTTGTCCCTCCCTCTCTCCCTTCTCTCTTTCCCCTTTCCTTCCAACCCCTCATAAAGTTTTTAAAAGAGTCTCAGTGAGAGGTGTCTCTGTTGTGTGATTTTGCTGACCTCCCTGGGTTAGGGGGCAGAAGGCTTGATCCTCCGACTGGGTCTGGATGTGGAGAGCAGGAGGGGCATACACAAAGTCCAAAAGGAGAAGTCAAATGAATGTCTGTGCTGATTGGATGATGCTCTGTGCCCAGGAAGAGAACACTGATGTCAAGCGGCTCTAAATGTAAACAAAAATAGTAGATGGCTGTCCCTTGAGAATGCATAGGTCAGGTGGCTTCAGTGCGTACGTCCACAGTCCCTGTCTCACTCCTCTGTGCTCTGCCATCCTCAGGATCAGTGACTTCAGAGGCTGATTCCCATGGCCTTTCAGGGCGCTCTGCACCAGCCCAGTGAGCCCACTTGTTTTCATTCACTGTCAGGGGATGGGAGCAAAGTCCCTGGTGGAAGGTTCTTGAGAAGAATGAGGAGGCCTCTTCTTAGGTTCCCCAAAACTTTTCCTGAAACTCACTGGCTGGCATCAGGTCACCTGCTATTCGGGACCCAGCAGTTACGACCTTAGATGGCATAATGGTGAATAGCTCTACAGTTGGGCAATGGGGTGGTTTCACCTCTCAGAGACCTGTGGGTACCCAATGGTGATGGGTAGTTACTGGGAAGGGGAATCTTTGTTGGAGCAGCAACCACCTTAAGACAGCTGTCATTTATTTGGCTTCCACATGTAGACACACAGCTATGAATATAGCAGGAACTTTCTGCTGCTATCCAAATGAGATCATACTGTGTACCTCAGTTTTTATTTTGCCTGGTTTACTTAATGGTATGCCTTCCAGAAGTCTGCAGGAAGACTTGGAAGGCTAAAATCACGGTGTCAGCAGCACCCATTCCTTCCAGAGGCCTAGAGAGGAATCTGTTTTCTTGCATTTTCTAGCTTTTGGATGTTACCTGCATTCCTTGGTTTATGGCCCCTCTTTCTCCACATTCAAAGTTAGCACTGTGGCATCTCTCTGACTACAGCCAAGAAAAGTTCTCCACTTGTAAGGATTCGTGTGATTATATTGGCCTCACCCAGATAGTTCAGGATTATATCTCCACTCAAAGTCCTTAAGGTTAATTACATCTGCAAAGTCCCTTTTACCATGTAAGGTAACATATTTACAGGTTTTGAGGATATGGACATGGGGGTACAAATATCTGTTTGAATCCCTGCTTTCAATTCTTTTGGGTACGTACCTAAGGAGTGGGATTTCTGGATCATATGGCAATTCTATGTTTAACTTCTTGAGGAATTGCCGTATTGCTTTCCACAGTGGTTGCACCATTTTAAATTCTCACCAGCAATGCACAGGGTTCCAATTTTCCTCCTCTTGACCAGTATTTGTTACTTTCTATAGTGTTGAGTTTTTGTTTGTTTTTTTTTGCCTACCATAATCGGTGTGAAGTGGTATCTTATTGTGATTTTGATTTTGTATTTCCCTAATGATTAGAAATGTTGGGCATCTTTTTATGTGTTTACTGGCCATTAGTGAATCTTCTTTGGAGAAATGTCTATTCAATTTTTTTGTCCATTAGATTTTCTTTGTTATTGTTGAGTTGTAGGAGTTCTTTATATATTATGGATATGAATCCTTCATCAGATGTAAGACTTGAAAATATTGTTTCCCATTCTGTGGGTTTTCTTTCACTCTCTGGATAATGTCCTTTATAGTACAAAAGTTATTAATTTTGGTGAAGTCCAGTTCATCTATTTTTTCTTTTTTTTTGTACTTTTGGGGTGATATCCAAGAAATCACTGCCAAATCTGATATTCTCCTTTGTTTTTTCCTAAGTTTCGTAGTTTTAGCTTTTACATTGAGGTCTTTGATCCATTTTGAGTTAATTTTTGTATGTTGTTTAAGGTAAGGGCACAACTTTATTCTTTTGCATGTGGGTATCCAGTCTTCCTGGCACACTTTGTTGAAAATACTGTTCTGCCCCCATTGAATGTTCTTGATACCCTTGTTTAAAATTATTTGACCATATATGTGAGGATTTTTTCTGGTTTCTTTATTCTATTCCATTGGTCTATATGTCTGTTATTATGCTAATATCACCATGTTTTGATTACTGTGGATTTGTAGTAAGTTCTGGAATCAGAAAGTATGAGTCCTCTAATTTTATTCTCTTTTTCAACACTATTTTGGCTATTTCAGATCCTCAAGATTACATTAGAATTTTAGAATGGTTTTTCTATTTCTGCAAAAGAAGTCAGTGAGATTTTGGTAGGGATTGCGTTGAATCTACAGATTGCTTTGATAATATTATTTTAACAAGATTAAGCCTTCTAGTCCATGAATATATGGTATTTTTCCATTTACTTAAGTCTTCTTTAATTTACTTAAGCAATGTTTTATAGTTTGTAGTATATGGGTCTTTCACCAACTTATTTAAATTTATTCCTAAGTATTTTATTTTTTTGATGCTACCGTAAATGAGATTTTTATTAATTTCCTATTTGATTGTTCACTGTTAGTGTACAGAAATGCAACAGATATTTGCATATTGACTTTGTATCTTGCAACTTTTTTGAATGTATTATCTGTAATAGGTGTTTTTGTGTGTGTGTAATCTTTAGCATTTTCTATATATAAAATCATGCTATCTGTGAACAGAGATAATTTGACTTCTTCCCTTCCAATTTGGGTGACTTTATTTCTTTTTCTTGTCTAATTGCTCTGGCTAGAACTTTCAGTAAGATGTTGCATAGAAGTGGTGAAAACAGGCATCCTTATTTTGTTCCTGCTTTTAGGGAAAAGCTTTTAGTCTTTCATTTGAGTATGGCATTCACTGTGGGTTTTTCATACATATATGGCCTTTGAGATATTGAGAAAATTTCTATTCCTAGTTCACTGATTTTTTTTTTTATCATGAAAGGGTGTTAAATTGTCAAATGCTTTCTTTCATCAATTGAGATGTGTGTGTAGATGCACACATATGTATACCATATAGATGTATGAGCATCATTATTTTTACTTCCTTGAACACATTGTATTTAAAATAGCTGTATTTGATGCGCTTGTGTAGTCTGTCCAGCACATGGGGCCCCTCAAAGACAGCTCCTGTCTCTGCTTCTTTTGCTGTGTACCAGTCCAGCTTTCCTGTTTCTTTGCATGACTCGCAAGTTTTTCATGGAAAAGCAGACATCTTAGATCGTACCATGTAGCAGGTCGGGACACCGGAAAGCTGGGTGTTCCTCGTCTCATTCCCAGATGGCTTCTCCTTACCAGCGCTGGGCCAGGTACCACACCGGAGAGGACAGGGGCGGCAGGAGGCGCCCGCCTTGGGAGCCTCCCCCCAAACTGGGAGGGCAGTTTCTCCCAGAGGAACCCGAGCCCCTCGGTACCCAGCAGGGCTCTGGCTGGACACAGTCTGGAGCGCGGATCTCAGTGAAACAGAGTGTGACATTTCCCGCTCGGGCAAGGAATCTTGCAATGCCAGGCCCCGCGGTTTCTGCCCCTTGGACAACCCCGCGGCCCCCCTGTTTGCCGCCAGGCCGCGAGGGGGCGCTCCTGGAGGGCCGAGGCTACCGGCGGTGCCATGGCGTCCTTGGGCCTCCTGGTCTGGCTTCTGCTCCTTCAGCCCCTGCTCTGGGAGGCCCGCGTGGGTGGGGAAGGGATGCAGGGCGGGACTGCGCTGCCCTCACCCTCTCCCACGCCCTCGGGGGGCGGCCGCCAGGACCCCTGGGCGAGCCCGTGGAAGCTGCCACCCGCAGGGGCTCGTGGACCCTCCGAGGCCCCCACTTCCCAAGAGGGCGCGGGAGACTTTAAGGTGGTGGAGTTCACCCCAGGTGACTCTTCGTGTTGGGAGTCACCAGGCGAGGGATGAGGCGCGGACTGGGACGCGGGGCTGCTTGGGGGCGGGGCGGGGCGGAACCAGGCTCTGCCCTCGGGGATCCGAGTGACCGCAGCCTTGCTCGTGGAGTCCAAGCGGGACACGGCTTGGCCTTGGGAGGTCAGAGGGACACACGGCCTGGGGACTCTGAAGCACGTCCCTGGAGCCTCAGAGGACGCGGCCTCCGTGGGTGTCTGAGGGAGGGGGCGCCCCGGGAGACAGGCCCTGTTTACTGAGGTCCTTCTGCCCACACTGTCTTCGCCACAGTGTGCGGCCACGTGCTCACGAAGATCGTGGGCGGCCAGGACGTGCAGGAAGGCGAGTGGCCGTGGCAGGTGAGCCTGCGGGTCAGCGGCAGGCACGTGTGCGGGGGCACCCTCATCGCGCAGCAGTGGGTGCTGACGGCCGGCCACTGCATCTTGAGGTGAGGCGCGCAGGCGGAGGCGCTGGGCCTGCCCTCCTCCGACACCCCCACCCAGGTCTGCGGCCCGGGCGAGGCTGTGCGAGGCAAACCGGAAGTGGAAGCCAAACCCAAACCGGAAGCCGAAGAAGCCCACGCCAGGAAGACGGGAGGGCTTCTGCCTTGGTGGCCTTGTGCTAGATTGGTGAACAGAGCAAAGATGTGGGCGAGCGGAGCAGCTCGGAGCGTCATTAGGAGGGGCCTGGGGAGAGGGCGGTGAGGGCGAGGCGAGGGGGCTGCGGCGCGGTGCGGGGCGGGCGGGTGGGAAGGGGGTGTTTCCTGGGGTCTCCGCTAGGGGCCTGCTCTCTCTTCCGCAGGCGACACCATTACAGCGTCAAGATGGGGGACCGGAGTGTCTTCCAGGAAATCACCAGCGTGGTGGTCCCGGTCAAAAGCATCACTGTGCACCCGCGGTACTCCACGATTGGAACCATTCACCATGATCTGGCCCTTCTCCAGCTTCACTACCCTGTGAATTTCACCGTCACCATCCACCCCATTTGCATTCCTGACGCGACTTTCAAAGTGGCAGCCGGGACCAGGTGCTGGGTGACCGGATGGGGCAGGACACAAGAATTCGGTGAGACTGGGTGGCAGCGCGCCAGCTGGGGTCGGGGGAGGCAGCCTTTTCCATGGACTGGGCAAGGAGGCCACAGGGAGGGACAGGATGGCGGAGGACCGCGGGCGGCGTGATTTCCGATCGCCTCTAGCCCAGAAATTGGGCCACTTGGAAAATGTACCTGTCCTGGGGACCAGAGTGGCTCTCAGGAGAAGAGATATCCTAGGGGGAGTTTCCTTCTGCAGATTTGTGGGGAAATGGCGCCTGGCTGCTTTGGGGGTATTTTTAGGTTCCCTGGAGACAGAGCCAGAGGCCATAGCATTCTGTGCGGGGTGGATTTCCACTGGGGGTGTGACACGCTGTCTGTTGGTCACACCTGTAACCTCACTGGAAGTACCCGTCTTGGTGGGCACCTGTTGCCCGGTCTGGGTGGAGCCGGGGAAGCTGCTGGGCCTCCTGTCTCTGGGGCAAGGCTGGATTTAGTGCCTTTGAGCCCCTTCCCCTCCCAGAGTCCAGGATCCCAGTCCCAGGCAAAGTCACTTCACTAGTGCACAGGACACCGGTCTCTATGACCCTTGATACTCAGAGTGGCAGGAGCTTGGTTGTCATTTCTCAACCAGTACGGCCTGTGCCTTTTTCTGTCTTGATCTATCCTTCCTTCTCTTGTCTTGGTTTTGGCTCTTACCTTCTCTTCTCTCCGTGTCAACGTGGGGCCTCAATTTCCTCTGGTGTCAAATGGGGACAGTGCCCACTGGTCCCGCCTTCTGCGGAGTGGAGTCTTAGGCGTTTGGGGGCTTGCTGTCCCCTGTGCAGGCCTACCCACTGCTGCATGTCTTTACTTGTAGGTGGCAAACTGGTTTCATTCACTCTCCAGAAGGTCGACCAATTCATCATCTACTATGAAAAGTGTAATGAGATGATGAAGAAGGCCACTCGAAAGACTAAGGATTTAGTACTGCCAGGGATGATCTGCGGCTACAAAGACGTAGGGAAGGATTCTTGCCAGGTGAGAGCACGGACCCTTTCTTGCCTTGGGATGGAGGCAGTTACCATGAAGCTCGCTCACTCTGTGTGGCAGGGCCTGGGCTGTTTACTCCCTCCTCCTTGCATCTCCTTACGTACGGAGATGCCTAAGGAGATGCGGGGGGAGAACTCCCCTGGTGGCTCCCCGAGCTGCCTCAGTGCCCGGGGGCCCTCCGGAGTCTGGGGAAGACGGGACAGGGAATGCTAATAACGCAGGTTCCCTTCATTGAGTTCCTCCTAGGTGGCACTTCCTGTGCTGGTGTGAGTGTTACCCACAGTACATAGCTCATGCAACCACATCACAGTCCCGCAGCGCAGACATCATCCCTACCTTACAGGTGTGGTGAGGGCTGAGGACAATAGTTCAAGGTCCCCACCCGCTGTGAGAGCCTGCAGGCCCCCGGGGCCCATAGTCTGCCCTGTGCACCAAGCTGCCCTCCTGGGGAGGGGCTGTTTGAGCTGGGTCTCAGAGAATGAGTATTTGGATTTCTGGGAGGAGGGAGGGGAAGAGCATGGACAGTGGCTCAGAGATCCAAAGGGACATGTCGCATTTAGGGAACATTTTACAGGTCTGGAGCAATGAGGTAGCAACTCTGGCCAGAGAAGGGGGTTAGAACCAGAATGTGTGTGGCCTGGAATGCTGTACCAAGTTTCTAGATGCCGTCCAGGCAGGACTGTAGGCTAGGGAAAGATGCTGAGTCCTGAGCAGGGCCCGGGTCAGTGGGGTGGGGGACAGAGGTGTGTTTAGTCATTCTTGGTGACTGCCTGACGGCCTGCCTGTGAGGATGGGGCTGAGGGGGAGGCTGTGTGTTTCTGGCTGAGCTGGTTAGTGGCGGGGCCACTGGAGTAGCTTTGGGGAAAGACAAGGGTGCCGCCTGAGCCGGGGAGCATGGTTATGGGGTGCCTGGGAGTGGAGCTCACACTGTGGAGGCAGCTGGCTCTCTGCGCTAGGACCTCTAGAGAAACGCTGGGCCAGATGAAAGGATCCGGGGGCTCTCATCAGAGGTGACAGAGTGTTTTACAACCACTGCGGTTTGGGAAATAACCAGTCATAATAGCCTTGGAGGATATTAAAGTTTTCCCATTAACTTCTCAATTCTTAGTTCTCACGTGCACAGGACCCGGGCCTGGCAGGAGTCTGGGGAAGGCCTGCCGAGCAGTGCCCCTGCCGCACCGAGCAGTGCGACCAGTATGCTCGGACCTGGGTGCCCTCCCAGTCCTGCAGTTTGTTTGTTTCTCTTTCTCCAGGGAGATTCCGGGGGCCCCCTGGTCTGTGACTATGATGACACGTGGGTCCAGATGGGGATCGTGAGCTGGGGCTTTGGCTGTGGTCGTAGGGAGGTGCCCGGAGTTTACACAGACGTTGCAGTCTATTCTAAGTGGATCGTCGGAGTGGTGAACCAGGTTACCGTTTTGTCCCCAGCGGTGCTCCTTATCATGCCCCTGTGTCTGGGGCTGCCCCTGGGCCTCCTGGTGACCCCGTGATCACCTATCACCGAGGCCCACTCCCCTCCTGTCTCTGAGGCTCCTACGAGCCCTCTCCTCCCACTCCTCAGCGCCCTCCCCTCACTTTCCTGTTGGGACCCACTGACCCTGCACAGAGCCACACAACACAGCAGAGGCGAGACTGGAGTCCTGAAAGCAAGCCTGCCTGGTGCCCAGGCCCCTGCCTCGGCCCCGCCTCCACCCTGCCTGTGCTCTGCCTGCCAGGAGGGAGGGGCGAAGCCATCCCAGCTCCAGGGCCAGCTGACCTGCCAGCTGGAGCAGGTGCTGCAAGGATGGCTCAGAGAACCGTCTACCAAGGAAGAGGCGGCATCCACGGTGGACACCTTAGACCTGACACTTGGTCAAGCCAGTTGGCTTGCTGACTGTCCAGAGAGAGTGAAGGAGGTGTCTGTCACCCTGTCCCTGCTGGGGTGTGGCTTGCACAGGACTCAGGTGTCTGGGGCGGGGGGAAGCTCCCCGCACCCCAGTGCAGATTGATCTGTGAGTGGCCAGCCTCTGCCACGCAAGCCCTCCTGGGTCATCTCTTCTCCTGGAACCCCCTTCCTCAGTGTCCTGGCGGCCACATCCAGGCTCAGCCCGAGTTGTGTTGAGGCACGAAGGAGTGCGGAGATTTCTGATGTCAGTTGAATAAATGTTTGGAGACTGGCTCATGTGTTCTGCATCTCTGCTTGTCTGGGGCGTGGGGCTCCTGAGGAGAACTTAGCTCACATTCATTGTGGGAAGATGTTTATGATGCTCTTTAAGCCCTGCAGTGAGAGGGGAGGGCCTGGCCTACCCTGATGGGTGCTCCACAGGTGGGTCTACAGGTGGGTCCCGCTGGTGCGCTGTGGCTGGCAGCATGTCTGCAGGGAGCTTTGTAGCCGAGTTTGCTGCCATTGCATCTGGGGAGAGGAGTGAGCCTGGGAGCAGGAGGAGTCAGGCAGCGCATCCAGACTGCAGCCCCCGTTTTCTGCCTGTTCCAGCAGCTCCCGTCTAGGTGTGGAGAGCCTTGAATGCCAGAGTGCCTCAACTAAGCTACGCAAAACAGGGTTGAAGCCCAGGGAGAGGATAGGTTGGGGTCACTGCCTCCATGCTGGCTTATTCCCCTCACTCCCCTTTGGCCCCAGAGGAGCTCTTTGTCATGAGGCAGAGCACCTCACTGCCCCCATTTTTTTCCTGTTCCTGCAAGTTTAAGGTGCTTTCTTTGAGGAGGGGATTCTGTGAGTTTTGGGGATGAAAAGAGGATGCATGTGAATATTTAGGTGGATGAAGAAGCGGGCTGGGGTAAAGATTGCTCATTGGCTCCCCTGGCACCTTTCCTCCCACTCTCTGGGCATGTGTTGCCCAGGAGCACGACTACTGTTGCGAGCCCCCCATATATCTAAATGTGACACTAAGTCCTGGCTGATAAAATACAAACAAACGTTGGGTATGGGTTTGGGGAGATATCCTTAGAGGGAGGAAAAGCCCTTCTTTATCACTTTCTTCTCTCCTGGCTGGAATGTGCACACGGTGATGGAGCTTGAGCAGCTATCTTGGGATGTGAGGGACACGTTTGGGGTAAGGAACAGGAATTTGGGAGAAAGTTGGCTCCCTGGAACCCATAGGGCTGCCCTTACAGCTCTTGATGCAAGAGAGAAATGGCCTCTTTTAATTAAGACACTGTCATCATTGCTCTCAGTTATGCATAGAAAAACCTCATCCTGACTGATTGAATAGGTATTCTCTGGGGTTTTATTTCCGGGTGGTTTTGAATATAAGTACTTAAAGTCATTTATTATTAAGACTCAATTCCTAAGCCCTGGCTGGCGTAGCTCAGTGGATTGAGCGTGGGCCTGCGAACCAGAGTATCGCGGTTCGATTCCCAGTCAGGGCACATGCCTGGGTTGCAGGCCAGTTCCCAGCAGGGGACACATCAGAGGCAACCATACACTGATATTTCTCTCCCACTCTTTCTCCTTCCCTTCCCCTCTCTCAAAAAATAAATAAATAAAATATTTATTATTAAGACTCAATTCCTTTTATTTCTACTTCGCTATATACCATTGCTTTCTTCTGTGTTCATTTTTTAAAAACTGAAGGTTAAAAGCTTATGTCAATGAATGACTATTATCTCTTAGTGAATTTTTATATTATTTATCAAGGTGTAATTTATATTTAGTAAAACATGCATATTGTAATGCATAATTTCACGAGTTTGAACAAATGTATCCTCCACGTTAATGTCACACAAATTACAATAGATACTATTTCCATCAATCCAGGACATTCCCATGTGTCCCTGTCTAATCACCCCTCCCAGAGGTACACACTGGTCTGATCGCTATCAGATTACATGTAATTGAATCACATGTTAATGCAATTATACAGTAATTGCTCTTTTGTGTCTGGCTTACCTTCCACTTCCACATACTGTTTTTTTTTTTAAAGATCTTATTTATGTCTTTTTAGAGGGAGGGGAAGGGAGAGAAACATCAGTATGCAAGAGATACATCAACCAGTTTCCTCTCCCAAGCCCCAAGTGGCACGCCCCCCACTGGGCACCTGGCCAGCAACCCAGGCAGGTTCCCTGACTAGGAATCTAACTGGTGACCTTTTGGTTTGCCTGCCGGCGCTCAATCCACTGAGCCACACCAGCTAGGACTGTTTTTGAGATTCATCCATGTGGTTATGTGTATCATTAGTTCATTCCTTTTAATTGCTGAATAGTAATCATTGCATGGCTTTTCCACCATTTGTTTTTGCTCCTGTTGTTGGACATTGGGCTGTTTCCAGTTTGGGGCTAATGAACATTTTAGCAGAAGACTTTTTGTGTCTATCTGCTTCCACTTCTTTCAGGAATAAACTTCGGAGAGGAACTGGTGGGTCACAGAATAGATGCATGGTTAAATATCCACCTTATGACAGGAGGCGCTGATCTCTTAGCCACTGAAGTTCCCTCGGTCTGGCATTCAGTGCAGTAGTGTGTCAGGGGTTGCATTCCAAAGAAATCACAGTTTCTTCACTGCAGACAGTGTGGTTTTGCTCCAGAACTATAGGCGACTATAATGTGACTCTACACAGGACCTAGTAGAGACACCTGACAGCATTTTCATTTTCCACTGCAAACTCTAGCTCCATAGGATTTGCTAGGTCATATACACTGAGTGACAAGGCCACTTGTTCCACCACCTAACTCCGTCTCTTAATAGGAGGAATGGCAAAGCACTGGGGCCACCTTTGTGCACGTAATCCAGGGTAACCTCGCCCCTCGAGACCTTTTATTTCATCACATCCCTTTTGCCATGTGAAGTAATATATTCACAGGTTCCAGGGATTAGAATGTGGACATCTTTGGGGGGCCGTTATTCTGTCCACTACAGGGCTGTTTCCAGATGTTGGCTACAGTAGTCCCCCCTTATCTGCAGGGAATATATTTCGGGACCCCCAGGGGATGCCAAAACCATGCACAGCACTGAATCCCGTACATGTAGTTGACCCTTGAACAGCATGGCTTTGCATGGCATGGGTCCGCTGAGAGATGGATTTTGTTCAATAAATATGTGCTGTAGAGTAAATGAATTTTCTCATAATTTTTCTTAAAAATGTTTTCTTCCCTGTAGTTTACTTTATTGGAAGAATACACTCTATAATGCATATAATATACAAAATATGCATTGGTCAACTGTTTATGTTATTGGTAAGGCCACCTGTCAGCACTAGGCTATGAGTAGCTAAGTTTTAGGCATCCAAAAGTTATATGTGGATTTTTCTTTTTCTTTTTCTTTTTAAAATTTTTCAATTTTGTGATTTATTTTGAAAGATTTTATTTACGTACTTTTATTTATTTTTTAAAGAGATTTATTTATTTATTTATATTGAGAGAGAAGAGAAGGGAGGAGAAAGACAGAGAGAGAAACCTCAGTGTGTGGTTGCCTCTCACATGCCTTCTACTGGGGACCTGGCCTGCAACCCAGGCATGTGCCCTGCCTGGGAATTGAACCTGTGACTCTTTGGTTCACACTCTGGTGCTCAGTCCACTGAGCCACAGCAGCAAGGGCTATTTATGTACTTTTAGAGAGAGAGGAAGGGAAGGGAAGGAGAAAGACAGGTAGAGAAACGTCAGTATGTGAGAGATACATCTATTGGTTGCTTCTCACACATCCCCAAGTAGGGACCTGGCCTACAACCCAGGCCCTACAACCCAGGCACATGCCCCGACTAGGAATTGAACCAGCCACACTTCTGTTCATAGCCTGGTGCTTAATCCACCAAGCCACACCAGCCAGGGCTATAGGTGGATTTTTTAACCACGAGGGGCATTGGCACCCCTAACCCCCATGTTGTTCAAGGGTAAATTGTGCTGTGTGTTCTCCTGTACATACATACCTATAATAAGTTCAATTTATAAATTCAGCACAGCAAGAAATGAACAACAACAACTAGTATTAAGAAAGAACAAGTATAACAAAACAATGTAATGAAAATTATGTGAATGCGGTCTCCAAATATCTTATAGTGTGCCTACCTTTTCACTTAAGGGAGGCACTTTACAGTTTCTCATTGGCACGTCCAAATCGCCAGTATCTATCACTACTGCGCTTTGAGGCCATAAGGGTTACTTGAACACAAGCCCTGTGATACCGAGACAGTCAGCCTGATGATGGAGGTAGCTACCTAGGGACTAGCGGGTGCGCAGGAGGATAGAGCGCGGAGGTGCAGCACGGAGGGATGACCCACATTCCTGGCAGGTCAGAGCAGGGCAGCGTGACATTTCATCACCCTGCTCAGAACGGAGGGGCCTTTAAAACTTATGAATTGTTTATTTCTGGAATTTTCCATTTAATATTTTTGGACTGCAGTTGACCAGGGGTAACTGAAACCACAGAAAGTGAAACCGTGGATAAGGGGGAACCACTGTATTATGAATTTAGCTACTATAAACATTTGAACAGTTATTTTTGTGTGTGAACATAAATCTTTATTTCTCTGGGATAAATGCCCAGGAGTGCAATTACTGGGTCGTATGGTAATTGCACATTTTATTTTTTAAGAAACCGCCAATCTGTTTTCCAGAGAGGCTGTAATATTTTACATTCCTACCACAATGTATGAATTACCCGGTATCTCCGTACCCTTGTCAGTGTGCGGCGGTGTCACTATTTTTAATTTTAGCCGGTCTGTTAGGTGTGTGGTGATACCTCATTGGGGTTTTGATGTGCATTTTGCTGATGGCTCTTTTCATGTGGGTGTTGATTTTTTTTAAGGGAGCACTATTATTTCTAACGCAGTGGTTAGTAAAGGGCAACGTTTATGTTGAGTTTAGATTTTTTATTGTAAACAAGTAGGAGAGGGACATGCTGAGAAGGGCCTAATCCAAGCGCAGCAGGGCCTTGCGGATGGATCTGTGTGAACATCAGACATCGGGGTGGCTTCCGCTCTCTGCGGCCAGGGACCTGGGCCAGGAGACGCTGAGTGCCGGGGAAGGGCCCCGTTACTGAGTCCACGCCGAGCTGGAGAGAGAGAAGACTCACCTGAGTCAAGTCCCAGGTCCTAACCCCGGATGACCTCACGGCGTTAGGGGAGAGGGGGCGGGCCCTTATTGCCCACAGGGCCCGGCTTCCCAGGCAGGGGCTGCAGCCGCCGCGAGGGGGCGCCACCAGAGGGCCGAGGT